TTATGGTTCAATCTCTTGTGGGTACTATGGTAATCAATAAAGGGGACAAGATAGCGCAGCTCTTGCTGCTCCCCAGTCTCCACAAGAGATTCCCCTCAAAGCAGAAAATTAGAGAAAGTCAAGGTTTCGGTTCCTCAGGGGAAGTCTTCGAGGGACTCCATATAATACTTGATAAAAGGCCCATGCTCTCACTTAAGGTCAATGGCAAAAATATAACAGGGCTCCTAGACACAGGAGCTGACCGTTCCATTATCTCTAGAAAGGATTGGCCCTCCAACTGGCCCACCAACACTGCAGATAACACGCTGCAGGGCCTGGGGATGGTGTCAGCTCCTCAGGTTAGTGCTTCAACCCTGCTCTGGTGCGATGAGGAGGGTCATCAGGGCCATTTCCAACCATTTGTGTTGCAGTTGCCAGTGTCTCTATGGGGAAGGGACATCCTCACTCAGATGGATGTCACGCTTACGTCAAACTGCTCCCCCCAGGCTAAAGATATACTCAGAAACCAGGGATATACCCCCGGCAAAGGCTTGGGCAATGCCCTACAGGGTCGGACATCCCCAATACCAGTAGAAAACAAAAAAGGTAGGCAAGGGCTGGGTTTTTCTTAGGGGCCGCTAAAGAAGCTCTCCTACCCACTTCGATCAAAATCACCTGGAGGTCAAATGATCCGGTTTGGGTACCTCAGTGGCCCCTGCCTAAGGAGAAACTAGCCTTGTCAAAAATAGTCAGTACACAACTTAGATTAGGACACATTAAGCCGTCAACCTCCCCATGGAACACCCCCATTTTTATAATTAAGAAAAAGTCTGGCAAATGGAGGCTGCTCCATGATCTAAGGGCGGTCAACGCGCAGATGCAGTCCCTGGGGGCGGTCCAGAGGGGGCTGCCAGCTCTCTCAGCCATCCCTCAGTCCTGGCCAGTTTATGTTATAGATCTTAGAGACTGTTTCTTCTCAATCCCCCTGCATCCAGAGGACACTCATAGGTTCGCCTTTACTTTACCCACCATTAACCAAAAAAGCCCTGATCTCAGATACGAGTAGATAACGCTGCCCCAAGGTATGGCCAACAGTCCCACTATGTGTCAGATTTCACGTCATATTCGCAACAGCAGAAACAGGTAAAAAAGTGTCTAATGTGATCAATCATTGCCTGGCGGCTTGGGCCGCATGGGGCAAACCAAAAATATTAAAAACTGATAATGGACCAGCCTATATAGGCAAAGCCTTCAATGAGTTCTGCAAAATGATGGAGGTTCAATTAAAACATGATATCCCATATAATCCCCAAGGTCAAGGAATCATTGAGAGGGCTCATAAAAGCCTCAAAAAAATTTTACAAAAACAAAAAGGGGGAGTAGGCCAAGGCCTGGCCCCAAAGGCACGATTATCCATGGCACTATTCACACACAATTTTTTAAATTTAAATAATGATAATTGCTCCCCAGCCGTGGAGCACTGCAACCCTTCCCCCAACCATAAAGGGTGGGTGAAGTGGAAAGATGTCCTGACAGGACAATGGATGGGCCCAGATCCAGTGGTCAGCTGGAACCGAGGCGCGGTTTGTGTTTTCCCACAGGAATCGGGACGAGAACCACTGTGGGTACCGGAGAGACTAACACGGGCGACAAAGCCCTCGACTGAAGATCAGACCTGCCCTACCGGAGATCCATCACAGACCAACCAACAAGATGAATAGAAATAGCGGTAGCCCGAAATGGACAAGAAGATCCTCAGGCATATGCATGGCTCGCTCGCCTAGCCTACGACCGAGTCTAGGGACGGTGAGCTTCCCACACTCCTCCTCTAAAAAATTATGACATAGCTGGGTAGGAGAGTCAATGACGGGTAAGAGCGTACTCCCCCGGTGCGACTCAACCTAAGCCAGGCCCTACCCCATCCTGCACGTAAGCCGCTGGACTGTTAGATGCTGCCCAGGTCTAAATTTCTCTCCGAGGGGATTTCTTTACGGAGAGAAAATGAGTGCAAGCTTGTGTGCATCCAGGTTCCGTCCAGTTTGTGCCTGGCCCTAGAAAAAGGACGAGGGCCTCAGGGCCTTGGCAGACCATGGGACGGCCGACCAGGGTCTAAGCCAAGGACCTATGGTGGGCCTACGCATAGGGCATAAGCCTCTGCACCCAGTCCAGGAAGGGCTACGATGCGCACATTCATAAAAAATAAAAAAGGGGGAGATGCTGGGAGCCGCAGCCCCGAGCCCGGTCGCCTCACTTGGCGGACGTGAGGCCTGTAGTAAAGAGTAAAGCCTGAGGTAGATTACCCCTCCCATCGAGCACGTTAGTTTCCTGCTTACCGCGTAAGCAACCCGCTCAACAATATAGTCTGCCTGGCAACTGATGATGTTAGCCAATCAGCTTGCCTTGCTTACTTTAACATGATTGGACACTGTATCCGTATATATACTGGTGCCACCCCTGGGGGGGAAGAAGAAGCCCGGAAGTAGAAGCCTAGAAGGAGCCGCGGGGAGCGGACCAAAGGAGGCTTCGGCTGGGAGCGATCCCAGGGCAGGCTGTACGGAGAAGGAAAATAAAAGAAAAGGTTGTCCACTGCCAGACTTTGTCGTGTGTCCTTCCTGCCGGCCAGGAGCGACATCGACATGCAACAATGGGCTGCTTTGGAGAAACAGAAAAATGTCAAGATGAAGGAGCAAAATACAATCTCAGACTTTCAGCCCACACAGAACAAGTTGAGAAGACACAGACATAATAGATAGTAGAAGTCATATACCTGAAATTTCAGAAGAGAGAACAACTGTAGTAAAGAAGCAGCTCAGTTCTTGTATTGTTTGGTTAATATTACATGCCTATGTCAGATGGTCTGGACAGCTATTTTGAAGATAACAGGCATTATGGTAGCCATTGTTAATTTCCTATCATCTTGTTTTGAAGTCCTGTATCATTTTCATTGTTTTATTTGGTTTGGTTTTATTCGGTTTTTTTTTTTTTTTTTTGGTTTGATTTTATTATGTCTGATAGTATGGGCAGCTACTCTGAACATAACAAGCTATTACTGATTTCCTATCTTGATTCAAAGTCCTGTATTGCTTTCATTGTTCTGTTTTGATTGACTTTGTTCTATTTTGTTTGCTTTTATTCTCTTTAAAATAAAAAATAAAGGTTTGAGATATTTAGTCATACAGAAAAAAATTCACTGCCTTAACAATAATGTATTTGAAGAGATATGTGGATTGACCAGGGGTTGACAGAGAATTAACTGAGTGAGGGCAGACTCAGCTAGGGCATTCACCTGTATACCACATGAATTTTCTCTCAGAAATGTTCTTCTTATCACAACAGAAGTACAAGTGAACAGGCAGAATCAGAAGAACCTTCCAGATCTTTCAGTGTGTTGGAACTGCTAAAATCTCATAGGCCAAAATAATACAGATCAATTCCAAAGTCAAGGATTGGGAAATTGTCCTGAACTATAAGTATTGAAAAGGCACAGCAAAATTACCAGAAAGTATAGTATATAAATATCCTATTTCTGGGTAGGGAGTGAAGAGTTGGAACAATTATTGGATCTATTTGCACTAGACTGAATAATGACCATGAAGCTTTAAATATTCTAATGCCAGAACCAATTGATATGTTATCTTACATGGCAAAAGGGATTTTGTGGAAGTGATTAAAAATCTTGAGATAGGATAATTATCCTGAATTATCCCAGGTGGGCCCAGTGTAATGGGCAATGTCCTTATAGGAAGGATAAAGAATCAGACTCAGAGAGTGAAAGAAAGTGATAAGAAACACAGAAGGCGCATACCTGTAATCCTGGCACTTGAGAGACTGAGGCAGGAGGAGTTGTAAAGCTCCTAGCCTGGGCTACCGAGTGAGACCCTGTCTCAATGGTGGGGGGTGGGGGAGGGGCAGAGAGAGAGAGAGATTGAGAGATTATAGGCAGGAAGAAGAGAAAAAGAAACACAAAGAGACTTTTTTTTTTTTGGTCTTTTTCCTTTTTATCAGTACCAGGGATCGAACTATGACTGCCTGCTTGCATGGCAGGCGCTTATGCCACTGAGCTAAATTAAGGTGCATGCTGATGTTTTTGAAAACACAAGGAGCCCAAAGCTATGGAATGTAAATGGTCTCCAGAAGCTAGAGATAGAGAATTCTCCCCTGGAGTCTCCAGAAGGAACACAGCCAGGCTGACACCTTGATTGTAGCTCAATGAAAACCATTTTTGAACTCCTGATTTCCAGAATTGTACCATAATAAATGTGTGCTGTTTTAAGCCACTGAATTTGTGATCATGCACCAGCAGTAGGAAACTAATATGCCTAGCTACAAAGTATATAAAATGAACAAGATTTCTAACCAATAGAGCCAGCATATGTAATCATACTATTAAATGCCATTTTAGTTAATAGGACTATTCATAGAAACAATATAAATGTCTGATTTTAGTTTACTTATTAATGTATATAATTATTAGTTTCTTCATATATCAAATATGATTCATCAACAAAAGTTACTAAGACTCTCATTCCTGAACTTTTGGCTTAACTAACAAATAGTTTTGTTTGTTTGTTTTTGTTTCATTTGTTTCTTTTGAGACAGGGTCTCACTATGGGTTGCAGGCTACCCTTGAACTTACTATGTAGCCCAGGATGACCTGAAACTCATGTTGATATTTTTGCCTTAGCTCTTGAGTTCTGGGATTACAAACATGTGCCACATGCTCAGTTTACAGTTTGATAGCTCATACAAAAGATAGTAATTATGGTAGTCCAGCCTTGAGGAATTCCCCCAGAAATCTCTGAAGTTATTCCCAACTGCCAAAATAGTTTCTTTTTTCCTTGAAATGTTTATGCTTGGAATAAAATCTTTCTGATGGAGTTCAGAAACATTTCAAACAAAAAATATATAATTTTTTAAATATATAATTTTTAAAAACTGTAGTGTTTTATTCAGGAAACTTTTAGAAATTATGTTGTGAAAAAATTACGTTGTGGTTTGATAAAATTTATAACAGCAGCCTTATGCTCACTTCGGCAGCACATATACTAAAATTAAACTACATAGAGATTAGCGTGGCCCCTGCGCAAGGGTGACATGCAAATTCATGAAGCATTCCGTGTTTTTTTGAATCTGGAACTTATCTTTGCAATTGTAAAGTTATTGGAATTTATAGAGCATACAGTGCTGAGATTGTGATACTTTAAAATAATGTGATAGAACCATTGTTGAAGCTTATAATTTTCCTAACAATTTAATGCAATCCAGTATAAACATATCAATACTTTCATTATCTACAAAGAGCAATTAATTTTAAATGCATTTGTAAAGTTAAATTGTCTTTTATTTTAACGAGTTTCCTATTACATATACCTTTTATACTGTAAAGTTTATACTAAGTAAAAAATGTATAACAGTAGGCTAAACTTCAATATTTTAAGAGGCCTATCTTTTTTTTTTTTGAGTGTTTGTATCCATTGTCACAAGATATTACTGTATTTTCATTGAAAATTATTTTCAGCTGTTTATTTTTAGTAACAAAAATCTTGGAATGCAGTACCTAGATTATGCTAACTCTCTGGAGAGAAATGTCACTTAGAGTGAACCTGTGTTCCAGGTAAATGAAAATTCGTCAGTTTCATCATAGGGCCCTCTACTACCTCATCACACACACTCAGAATCAGCCTTTATTATTTTACTACTTGTAAAGGAAAGTTTCATCCACAGGAACTTAATAGTGGAATTTTTCAAATACAACATTTTCCATTGTTCATGGGATTTGCCCCTGTGATTGCTTTATGAAGCAACAAATAGAAAACCATCATAAAATCCAGATGCCAGCAGCCATTCTTGCTGCCTGTGTTACATTGTTATCTGAAGATATGTAACTGAAATTCTGCTCCTAAAATGTATCTTCTGATCAGCTTGAGTCAGAAATGTATCCTTTTCTTTTCCTCAATGCTTTAAAATTTTTTCCATGTGGGGCAAACATACTCAGTTTCTTTTTTTACTGATACACATAATCATAAGTTGTGTAGTAAAATAAAGCACTTATTGTTTATTTACAAATATTCACTACTGTTTTATTAAATTGTATTAACTCCCATGGCAGTGGATGCCACATAAGTTACTAAATACTTTCAAAATAAGAGAAAAGATGTTTCTCCAGTACAGGGATGGAACTCCTCTTCCTTGCATGTTAGGCAAGTGCCCTACCACTGAACCATACCCCCACCTCTTTGGTCAACTCTTGATATTAAAAATTTCAATAAAACATGTGAGAGTAATTTCATTTTTTCCCAGTGGAACTGCATACTTGATTAGCATTTTACAGTATTTCTTGGTGAGTTTTTTTTTTTTTTGCTTTTTATTTTTTTTCCAGTGTTGAGGATCAAACCCAGAGCCCCATGCAATCTAGGCAAGCATTCTAGCACTGAGCTTATACCCCTAGACATGCTGTAAGTTTTTAAAATGAAGTTTGAAAACTATAAGTAGAAAAGACAAAAATCTGTTACACAGATGGTGAAATACACTGATTATAAGGATTATTTTATTTATGAAAACACTGTGGAAAGTAGTGTTGTATATTTTGGAGCTACATTGAGTCATTTTTAGGAATAAGGAAATTTGGGTAATAAAATTCCCCTCTGAGAATTCACACATAAGAGGGTAAAGCAGATATATATGACCACTTGAAAGAGACAGAGTATCTGTCCTCTTGGTCTATAAGATTTGACTCTAACCTGATTAAACATGAGGACCTATGGGCTCAGCCATGTGGTCAGCTAAAAGAACAGACAGGAGAGAAGCACTGATAGAATTTATCTAACTACTACCTGGGGAGGAGAGATTATTAGCCAGGAACCTTTTTATAATTGGTAAAACAGACTTGTTTAGAAGTTGTTGGGACTAATCCTGTTAAGAAGAAAATATAAATATTTAAGATACAAGAAAGAGACGAGAAAATCTATAGCATAGATTTCCTGAGAAGACAATAAACGCTAGAATTCAAATCACAGATAGAGAGATTGACCTTGAGTAGGGAGAAACATCCCTTCCATCCTGACACAGGGGCAAGGGCATTGTATGAGAATAGATATATGGGTTTGGCAAAAGGCAGAGAAACTTTTGCTGTTTTCTCAAATGCCAAGGTGCCGTGTTTTGATGTACCAATCCTAACACAGTCATTGTTATCAGATTATCTTAGAATGCCTCTGATGTAGAATCTACTCTGTTAACTAAAAGCAGGGTATTATATGATCAACTGAAATAGCAAAATGTGTTAATCTAAAGTTAACAAATTGAAGTGAGTCTTCACATGGTCTTAATAAAATCTTTTCCCATTTGAATTTACTGTGCAGAATACTTGGATGAAGCAGTGTTTATAAAAAAATTTGAATAGGAAAATTGTAAAATTTCTTACATAAAAAATTAAAAGTATCCACTAATGAAGAATGACTGAAGCTGTAAGTAAACTTACAACAGACAAATGTAAAGTATCTTCAGAAGACAAAATGAAAGATAAATTTAAGATATTTTATTAGTGCCATATTTCTAAGGCTGGTTTCTTAGAGTTATCTTTTTTCTTCTCTTTCTAAAATCTCTTCAAGATTTTCCAGCACATTCCTATAGTAACAGAAACTTTAAGAAGATTATTACCTTCCTATTGGAGATTTGGAGGCAGTTTTTGCCTGGTGTTTATTCTTGTCCCTGAATTAGTGGTTAGAGCGCAACTTGATAAAGAAATGTAAGATGGAAAGATACAACCATCCAAAGTTTTCTTAACCGTGCTTCAAAATTGGCCAGAAGCATTTTTATTTGTACTATTATGTCCTCAATGCAGAATTCAGAATATGCCTGTCCATGTTACAATTGTTAGCATGGTACACTAAGCCATTGTTAACACTCTAAAAGTTAAATCTGTACAGTGTAATTGGTCTACAAATGCTGTGTGGAATAAACATAAGAAATTTTCCTTACCCACTTTTTTAAAGGTGCAGAATTATTTGTTTTTAATTATTTAATTTAGGAGAAAAGTCAGCATCTCCCAAGAATCAGCCATGTATGAACTAGAAGGATCCAACAAGAAGCCAACCAGCCAGCCTTTCTGGTAAGTCATGCAAGCCTGCAGCTTCCAGGATGAGAAAAGTCAATGTCTCCCAGTAAATCTATGGTTATGTGGGCTGAGAATCAAATCCCGCCTCCCACACCCCCACGCCCCCATAAATAACCTGCTAGTTGGAAGGACAGGCTGAGTTGATAGCAACTAAGGTACATAAAGCAACTAAATGCTTGTATTGTTGGTTGATTTTGCGGTCAGCAGGGTCAGCAGTCTGAGCCTGTCTTGGTCAGGATCCTCTTTTGGGAAGATGACCATATATAATATAGCTTATATGGGGATTTTCTTTTATCTTGTCTTTGAAATCCAATATTATTCTCACTGTTTTGCTTTGTTCCAATTAATTGTTTTGTTCTATTCAATGTTCTGTTTTGAGTGGCTTTATTCTGTTTTGTTTTTGGTTTGATTTTGCTATACCTGATGGAATGGACAACTAACGTGAAGATAACAAGATATACTGTTGTTTTCCCAGTATCCTGCTTTGAAGTTTGGTATCAATTTCACTGCTTTGTTTTGATTGCCTTTGTTCTGTTTTGTTTTGTTGGATTTCACTATCTCTAAATAAAAAATAAAAATAAATATTTAATTTACTTAATTAAATATGCTTACATAAAACAATCTCACAAAAAAATCAGACTGATAGTACAAAGTAGAACTATATTTTCCCTCCCCCAATATTATTTCTCTGACTTTTATTAGGTATTTTCAAAATATATTCTAAAAGGCTTTAGTAATTTAATTTCCACTAGTCTTAGTTATAAGCAAATGCACTTAATAACTTACTCAGTTGCTCAGTTTCCATATTTACTGATTATTAATCTAATTCAGCGTCAATGCCTTATTATGAGTTTAAGACATTATTTCCAAGTTCATAAACCTAAAAAAAACACAGATACTTTAAGGTGCTCAACAGTGACTGCAGTGTGCTAGAAATCAAACTTGAATTTCCTGTTTTATGGTAATATTATCTAACCATTAACATACTTTCAGGTTAATTAGTTCCAGCTCAGTATATGTGCTACTGAAGTGGGGTACTCAGACCAATTAGTTTATTTGTTTTTTTTAAATGAGGCCTATAGAAAATTTTTAGGATATTTTTGAATACTGATAAATTGAAAAGCATGGTATATAAGCTACTATTCTGGTTATCTCGTTGGTTCTCTTAGAATAAAAGTGATATTTATAACCAATTTGTATCCTTTCTCAACTGGGCCTCATTAGCCAACAATCATGGAGACTAATAAAAGAATCCCATAATAAAAGGCACAGCACACTGAAAACAATGCAGTTCCTACACATTATGGGAAATACTGGGTTTTAGTCTCACATCTCATCCAAAATCTCTGAGGCATATGGGTCGCCAGTGTCTAACTGTATATTATTACTTAAGAAACAAAAATATACCTCTCGTACAGATTGTTCTGACTCTGAAAGGCCCAATCTTTGACCTCAATTGGGGCAGTCACTCAATAGAGTATCCAGAAACTAGATGAAGATTCTGTAAGGATTAATGTTACGGCTCTGCTCTCCCATAAAAGTCTGATGGCCCAAACTGGCTTTCCTAATGTCCCCGAGGCTGGCAAATGGTCCCTTAAGCCCATTATTCTCATTCACATGTTTTAAAAGAGGCTGTTCCCTGCTACTGTTACCTCTTATGTTCACATTTGGCTTTTACAAGACTGACTTAGGGTAGGGATTTATAGTTCAGACACACCTTTCAGTAAGAAAAATGAATGTCCTCATCTCTGTTATATGATAATGCTGTTCCCGTAATAGCTATAGAACCAGGTTGTAAATACCCATTAAATTTAATTCTCTATGCATAAACTACTGGACCAGAATTTTATTTGTTCAACTAATATTCATAGATTTCTGTAAGATTGTCAGTGGATGAAACTGAAAATGATAAGTAAATGTCTAGAAAGCAAAATATAAACCTGGTTATTTGGAGAATACCCAGAGACCAGTCAGGAAAACATTTTTGGAACTGAAATTTGAGGCCAGGTAG